ATGTGATATATTGTATGGTATATGGTATTGTATCTGGTATGGCATATCGTATGGTGTCTGGTATGGTATCTGGTACAGTATCTGGTACAGTATCTGGTATGGTATATGTGATATATTGTATGGTATATGGTATTGTATCTGGTATGGCATATCGTATGGTGTCTGGTATGGTATCTGGTACAGTATCTGGTACAGTATCTGGTATGGTATATGATGTGATATATTGTATGGTATATGGTATTGTATCTGGTATGGTATATGGATGGTGTGGTATATGACAAGATATGGTTCAGCAAAAGATAGATGATTTTTTTACCGATATAATTGAAAATCACTTACCTAAAAATACCATATTCTGAGTTTGCACATATGCAAGCCAAAAAAATGCCAAACCAGTCGAYACGAAGCCTGCCCGGAATACATTTTCTTCGCAAAGAACTTTTCTCAATACAATGACGCCAGCAATACCGACCAACCCTTCAGAAGCAAACTTGAATCCAAAGAAYGCACCAAGACCAGTTGAGGAAAAGCAAAGAGGACTTTTAATCAGATAAAGAACGACAATATTCATGACACCACCCTTTGTCAGACTGAAGAATAACGAGTCAATCGCTATTAGAATGATAAGATTTCTCTTTTGATGACTGGGACGCGGAGATGTAAACACGTTGATGACCCGCTTGAGACTATGCACGTTAAAAAGAGACGTGTCTTGCTTACTTGATGTTTGTCGAGATTCAGGTACAACAAGAAGGCAGTATGTAAATGAAGAGATGAAGCAGAATGACATTCCAACATATGGGAGAATAAACCCAAAAGAGCTCATTAGAACACCACTGAATGTCTGTCCAAGAAAACCGCCAATGAAAATAACCAGTTGTAAGGCGGCTACAATACGAAAGAGAGTATTAAAACTAAATACAATAAAGAAATCCCTTAAGCAAGTCTTAAGCAACAATAAAATATGATCGCACGCAAGTCAATTGTGTTCTATGCCAACACTTGTCCATCAATCTTTTCCTTGGTTTGTCGATTGTTTTATCCATTCATTCATCAATAACTTCATGCTTTTATTCACTTATCCAGCCATCCCTGCATTCATCCTTTTATTCATCCTTCATTCCTACCCATCCTGTCATCCATTTAAATTCTCAGCTAACCTAGACGTGTAGATAAGAGAGACTTGTCTGTCATGTCAATGACATAGTTAAATGATGCTTGTCCCAATAAAGTAAAAAACCCACTCAACGCATTCAGCAGCTTGCCTACAATAAGCAAGTGAAGAGACCATCTGAAGTACATCACTCCAATAACTATCAGCGACTCCAAGACCGCTCCAAAGGTAGATATAAGTAAGGCTGGTTTGCGACCAACAGAGTCAGTCCATGGTCCGATGAAAAGACCCATTACAGTAGCAGGAAGAAACGTGCATGGAATAACAAGTCTGTCAAACCCTGAAGCAAGCTCTTGGACCTGCAATTAAGATTGAATCAAGGCTGATAGTTTTTCAAGATTGAGGCAGACTACCCTCTGAAAGAAAGAATTTCATTCTTCCATTTGTTCACCCATTCTTCCATCTCATTTTGYTTAGTTTACCTTTGTTTCAAGGAGTTTCAACGTTTCGTTCTGCGCGGCATCATTAACGTTACTACAAGATCCTTTTCCCTTGCTGTCGAGACTGTAAGGGAAACCAACTTCCTCACTGTATCTAGAGTAAATAAACTGCTTCTGTACCGGTAGACTCATAAAGAAACCACATGAATAAAGCAATAGAACAGGCTCAATGTAGATAAACGACTTCCACGTTAATCTGGAAATCTTCATTTTTTCCTGATGACTGAATAGTGCTGAAAATTGGAGGAAAAAAAATTCGTCTTCAAGAAAAATTCATTCATTATTAGCCTGTGTACATCCGTTTCTCACCACATCCGTTTCTCACCCCTCAAAAAATCGGGGAGAGATTTTTTTTGAGGGGTGAGAAACGGATGTACACAGGCTATTCATTATTTGAACAAAGACGGYAAACTCCTTCCAAGTTACGCGAAACAAATATTCATATTTTCGTAAAGCATAATATCTGATTTTATGGTCCTCTGAATTTACTGTGTTATTTGAATCACGCGGCAAAATCTTTGTCATGAGGACATGCGAAGTAATTACTGAATTMAAAGAAGAAAAGAAGGGAGGAAAACAATTTTATAAGTGACGTTCAAAGCCAATCCGGAATTAAAATGATAATGCAAATACGAAAAAAATACTTCGATATCTTTGTAAGAGAATGTATGGTTGGCCGCTCRCTCGCCTCAGTCTATAAAGTCAACAAAAGCTGCTGTCGTGACCTGCTGCCGTGACCGAACCCCTATTCCGTCCTGAATTTGATCAATTTGGAATTTATCTTAAAAACTGTAGCAAAACATGTAATGTAATGTTGGGATTTCATATATACAATATGCATGCATGCATACAGGCGATTGCCCTGCGACTAAGCTACCGTCAATCATACATGACCCCTGTAATATTATATAACGATCCAGGAGAAAGAATTTACATAAAAACAGAATCTAGGGATTCTGATCAGTTCTAATCACAAGATTATAAGTAAGATGTTAAACATCATCAGAAACTGCTAGAATCAGTTATTACTTTACCAGAAAATTCAACTCAAGCAATAAATAGTTAAATACATAACAYAACATTGGACGCTTCGCTTGCAATAGCATTCATAACATGCACTATCCTAGCTGATTAGATAGTACTGAGATTACTTTTACCTTGCAGGCATTCATTGCAGTTATTCTGAAAGATTCTATATACTAATACTTTTCCATAGTTACCTCAATGATTTATCGAATGCTTTTTTGCTTGACCTGGAAATAATCTCGTCACGCAACGYACTTAGTAACGGAGACGARACAACATTATACCTGCTCAGCGGTTACTGCATGAGGATAAACTTCACYTTTCATTTTCATCCCATTTTTTGGCCATTCTAAAACGAAAATATTCTATAGCTATTATCAGAGAATATAACTTTTCATAAAGAATAATAATATAATGATGATWATGGTAAAAACCTTAAGTTTTGAAWTACACAGGAAACCCATACAACTATCGGACAATTTTTGCAAAATTTGCAGGAATAATTTGTGGTGAAAGAAGACGAACATTCCTTTTACAGCGAACATTTCTATGACAACGACACCCCTACGAAACGGAAACCTCAGTATTCGAACTCCTGATTTATTTCCTGCGCATGTTYTTATGTGTTTTCTGCTGACCTCTTTGACTACGATCAATATGATAACCCACACRATTYAACGGTGCGCACAGATGAAACCGTGAAGCCTTTCTTACATAGTTAATAAATGCATAAATGAGAMTGTTTAYAGTCTGAATACCTCTTTGAGAACTCTAGAGTCTCACGAAACTGAAACCAGTTTTCTGAAACCCGGTTTAAATTGTAAAGATCTGCAGAAAATCAGCTTTTTGCGCGCGTAAACGAGAACAAGTTTTATCTWCGGTASCGATCTTTTTGTTTAGATCTATGCGCTTAAAACATATTGTCCTTTTTAACAATGTTCTTATGACTGTATTCAAGCATTATTTTAGATTGTCATATTACAAAGCGAACAGTTTGATGAGTATAGCACAAGTAAAGATGAACCAGTAAATACCGTTGATTAAGTCTATTAAATAAAATACTTGGGAGAAATTTATGAAAATCATGAACATTTACCAATTTTATTTCTAAAAGACTATTATTATTGTCACAACGCTATTAAAATCCTCGGAAACCAGATGTTATCGTCTGTGGCTCTTCCCTTACTTCCAGAAATAATACTAATAAAAATATTTTTTCTGGGAGGAACGAACGACAGAAGATTACGCTGGCTTCATTAGGATGCACTATTGACTATACCACTAAAATGCAGAATTCAACTTTCTTTGAAATAACTGTGTACTGAAAATTTTATTGAATTAAAAACTCTTTTTTAACAAATACCTTTTGTAAATAAGGTGCATAGAGTATGTTACAGGTGGAATTATGCTTGCTTGGTGAACGCGTCCTGCATAATTCAACATTTACCTGAGAATCAGCTGGATAAAACAACAAAAACAGAGAATATATTCTTGTACTTTTTATGTTTTTTTGCAATTATATTATTTTTTAATTGAAAAGAACAGAAACTTGAATAAAACTCACACCTTTTTGTACTTGACGCAATGCAAAGGAAATTAAATTATTTCTCAATTTGAAAAACCACTTTGAGAGAACACACGGAACACTTAAAAAGAACAAGTTACTTACTAGTTAAAGAAAAAGCCAGCCATAATTACATATTAACAGGAACTTAATAGAATATTCAAAGAAAACACATGTATGCTCGCAATGCTTAACTTCTTCATTATTTTTGACTAAATATAACCCTACATAATTGTAATACATCCTTTTTCAGCTGACTACCACTTAAAATATAGGAATGAAAATTCAAGAGGAACATATGTTAACCAGTACTTTCCTTCTCTTCCTAACAATGAGATATAATGAGCTGTAATGCACACTTCCTTCTCTCATTTTTTTATTTCTRTTTCTTTTAAAGAGAATCATCTATTGTCCGTAAGATTTGGACTAAAAACCACAAAACGTGCCTAAATTCAATTATGCAGACGTTTTGGAAATTGGATAGTAGTTTGCTTGAGTCAAGCGAGTCCAATATTCAATGCAAATTACACTAATTTTTTCTTCTTTACTATCATCTCATTGGATTCAACACATATGAATGACATTCATCGTTGTGGCGCGAAAAACATCGGCCATCAGTAATACTGATTGATCACTAATTGCCTTATGAAGTAATAGACCTTGGGACATAAAGAAAGGAAACCATGCCGCTTATTTTTTTTTATATATATTCTGATATTGATGATGGCTGGCTTTGCAGACATATGAACACATGTGACTGTCAAACTATCATAAACACAATCCAGAGTCGAATCATAAAGTTTTGGCACATTCAACCAAAGTATTTAGAACTACCTTTATTTAAGTCGCATGCTACTCACAAATAATTTCATAGTAATTTGAAGTTACTTTGTCTAAAAGACGATGAATGTGYTTACAATCGTGAGTAGGTTTTCTTGGCCCTTTGACACGAGTCTTTCTGTGGTTAGTGCATAACGAAGTGTTTTTTTCAAGTGTGGTTATATTTAGAGTGGRTCATTCTAAGTTCGTGACAAAGGCCCTTAGAGGTTCTAACTCAATGAGTCTGCAGCTCAGTGTTCAGGTGTACAAGGAATTTCAAACATACACACAACCAAATTAAATAACAGCTTTTTAGACAATGTTGAGTTGTATTGTGTCCTGTAGAGAAATTTTCAATAATGTTCATTTTGTATAGATATACAGAACAATTAGAGCACGACGTGTAGTGTTGAAACCTCTTGATGCCGGCATTATATGGTACTTACAAACCCACTAATGAATGGTCATCCGATAAATTATATACAATATTATAAACATAGGTTTTATAAATGGCTAATCTATCTCAGGTTTGGCAGGTGGGACTATATCTACACCTTAAAAGCATAGCATTGCATGAACTGGTACACCAGTACGTATTCTAGAACAATGTTCACTACATTCTAGAATGAGTAATCGGGTTGTTCACATTGAGTTGGGAGGTAATGGTCCTAGTATACGATAAAGGCATCACTTAGTCACGCGATCGGCCTGTTTCGTGTTTATATATTTAGAAATAAATGAATTGTGGAATTCGTACGGAAGAAATAAAATGATGCCATCGACAGCATCAATACTGGTTTAGTACCAGACATACAATTAGGCCACCCGCGGATCCAGTTAGCAAGTTGGCTCACTTTAAATGTTTTTTGCGTCTCGTTACCAGCTAAGCATTTTGCCAAAGGCATCCATGTTTCAATTATTAGAGGTAATAGTACAAACGTCCACTTTTCAAACCTCAAAGCGTGGGCAATGACGCGCGTGTATGCCACGCAATTAGCAGATGCCTTGAGGGACTATGTCTGGAACGCACGTAGGCTTAAGACAACTGTAGTCAAGTGGATTATGGCTAAAAATGAATCTCATCACAACTTTTTTACAAAACAAAAATATTCCCAAAAAAACTCCAAAAGCAAAAGTTTGTCAAACTTTCTAGAATCAATATTGCACAGTTAACTCGTTTCAAACTCTGTAGATCTGTTTCGTGTTCAGGGTCAAATCACATAATCCCAAATCATTTAGCGACGATTATAAGCCTAGACAGTATTAGGAAGCCTTTTAAGAAGATTACGAACAAGGCCTTGAGTACTTTGTACTATTTACACGTGATACGCACGAACATTACACACCTAAACAAAAATACATACTTGTAATTAATCAGGAATTCTATGGCTTGTTTATATATAGTTCACATGAAGCGATATGTTCTGCCCATCCCAGGTTTCTTTATTGCAATTTCAAGTGAGGTTGTCAAGTCTTGGGGATAAATATCGTGAGAGCATTGTCAGATATCAGCGTTTATTTTGTGGTTATGTTTCAAAAACAACGAAGAACTAATGACGTGGGATATGTACATTCAAGTGTTAGTACCTCGAACCCCTTGGTGAGGTTGAAGTGATCCTTGTGTTGTTGTTGATCGCTTCAATAGTGGTTAGACCGTGTAACTCCGATGACAACATGGTGCTTGTAATAATATAGGACGTATGCATAAAATATGGACAGCACGATTCTTTTTAAATTCTTTTTGAAAAAGGCGGGGAGAGTTCATAAACAGAAGGTTTCTTGTCACCAAATCATAACCTTTACATTCTATTAATAGTCATCCAC